ACAAACAAATCAATTCCCTGCAATGAACATTGAAAGATACATGTTAATACATATGAATACATTACAAAAATACATATTAAGTTTTTTTGGAATACATGTAAGACATTATACAGTGACAAGGCCAAATGCATGTTAGACAACTACAAATACTTACAGAAGACTAGATACAGTGACAAGGCTAAATATATGCTAACATACTTTGTAACATACAGATATAATACAAAATATTTAAGATGAATACACCTGAATACATATGAATGCATATGAATACATTTGAGGTCAAACTGGACAATTGAATTATCGCAAATATACATTAGCAAACGCTAAATACACATGAATACATATGAATACAGGTAAGATTACATTAAAAATGAACTGTTGGAAACAACCAAATACACATGAATACATAAACATACTATAGAAGAAACAGAATACACTATACAAAAAGGTACAAAAATACAAGAAGATACATATGAATACAACAGAATACATGTAACAAATACCAATTACCTTTTGGTTTCTTGAATCTTTCATAGGTTTTTTCCTCTTTGAGCCAACTTGATTTTTGGTTTCTTTTGAAGCTTCATCAACTTGGACTTCTTTCAACTTGTCATTGTGTAATTTACTTCTTCTTTCATCAACTTTGGATGCTGATAAACCTGCAAAATCTTTCTCCGCTTGAGTCAGTTGCAACGAGAAAGAGGGCCCATCAAAATAGAGAATTTTGGTGGGTATACCTCTGGGTAGTCTGTTGAGTGGCGTTGCATCCGACATTAGAGAGAAAACTCAAAGAATCCTGGTGATTAACAATACAAATGGAAGATATATCAGAAAATTGTGTAAATTCGCTAAAAAAACTTATAGAAACAAACTAATGAAAAAGCAATTTCGAAGTAGTTGAATTACCTACGGGGAGAAGATTTCCAAAATAAAACTGTGAAGCTCTAAAAAACATTTGAGAACCAACTTGCCCGTCAAAATACGCTTGAGAACAGTTGCGAAGAAGAATGGCGTGTGGGGTGATAATGGCGGAGAAGTATAGGCGATAATGGCGGAGGAGGGTTTTTGAAGTGTATGGAACGTGTGTTTGTGGGAGAAGAGGGAAAAGTGTATTGAAGAAGAGAGAGAAAAGCTGATGAGAGGAGATATACGCTAATTAGGTGAGAGAAAATAAAAAAAAATGAGATAGAAAAATATTTTGTAGCATATATTAAGCCTTAATTTTAGGATGGAACTAAATTTAAATTTTTTGCTATAAACTAAAAAGGGTATTTATAGAATGTAATATTTTAAAAGGGTATTTATAGAATATAAATAGGGTACTAACCTATTCTATAGGTGGTAAAATTTCCATATTTATTTGGTGTAGTATGTAGTTCAACTATTTATTGAATTTGAGTCAATAAATTTTATATGCCTATACTTTCTTTGCCCGTCAAATTGTACTTTATTTTCAACAAAGTTGTGTAAACCATTAATTTTAAACAAAAATAGGGGTAAGAGGTTGCTTGTAAGGTTAGAGTACGCAATTGACTTTTCGAGTTAATTTACGTATTTTTTTTACGTGAAACGTGTATAGAAAAGTTACCATTTGCAAATGAATATGTATCTTCAAATATGTGATAAGAGCATATATTTTTAAAAACTAAGGGCAAACGACAGCGAATACCAAAGTGATCAAACAAAAGAACATAAAAGAATAAAAGGAAAGGAAAAGTAGAAAATATTTTGTGGAGGACAGTTCACGCCAGTAAAAGGAAGGAAATGTTAGAAACTCAATATATTTTGCATTGCACACGAATACAAATTTTCAATAAAAAAAAATGATAATTCTATCGCCTTAAATATTTATTCATACATTGAAGAACAATATGCAACATTCCTATAGTCTCGGAGAGAACTCAACAACAAACTAAATAGGGTCTACCCGAGCTGTAGTCGGATGAATGAGATCCTCCACGAAACTTCTCAATAGGAAGCGCTTTCCACTTTAATTAACAGTCGTTAATCCGAAGATATTAAGATCCTCTAAAAAGTTGGAACTGCTGTAGCAAATTCAAGAAGCTCCTTGTCCTTTTCAAAAGCAGACATTACTTTTGCACTTAGTGAAACAAATGCATCTACTCCTCCACTTAGGTTACCAACCAAGAAAATTACCTTATTATGTAAACCATTTGCTATGTTCATTTTTGCAGGCTTTCCCCAACCAAAATCAATTTCATGAACTGGAAATTTCACTAAGCTACTAAAATTGCACATATTATTTTGAACTTTTGAGTAACTTTTCTCTTCTGTAGCTAGTTCCAGAAACTTCTTAAGAAATAGATTATCTTCAACATTATCTCGATCAGAAACTCGTTGCTTTTCCTTTCTCATTTCTGTAACTATATTTGCTAATGTCATGTACTTCTCAGAGGCTATGGATATATAAGTGGACGTCAAAATGTTTCCAATACTATTTGGTGGTAAATCTATTTGATGTCGCAAGTCAAAAGATTGCGACATGATCCATGGTTCAAATGATTTACCGTTCACTGCAGCAACAATACACTTAAATATAAGTGCACTGACAACTTCATTGCGCGTCGGAGTTTGAACGTTTGATGTAGAAGCAACTAATGTCTTGAGTTTGTTAAGTTTCTGGAGGGAAAATATGAACTTTCTTTGAATGCAATCATCTTTGTTTGATGTACAAACAGGAGATAGAAATGGAGTACCAGTAATAGGTGGAGGAAATATGGATTCTTGGACATATTGTAAAACGGGTTTTGGCCCATTGGCCTCACGGGTTAACTTGGCCCAATCATGAAAAAAATTGTAACTACTATGTCCATCTCCAACTTTGTGAGAAGTACACAAGCTAATAGCAATTCCTCCACAAGTGAAGTAACTAAGTTGAGCTACAACTAAACCACGGTTAGTACAATTTGACCAAGGTAAATCTTGTGGAAATACCATCTCTTCAATAACATTATTATGCTTTTCAAGTGCTTGAGATATAGGGATATTAATTTGGACACGTAAAAAATCAGCACCGACGTCGTTACAATCGACGACAGTATTATCCTTAAGTCTTCCAGCGTATGGATAATATGATACGAGTAATCTGGATAACGAATTTTCGAGAAGATGAGATATTTGAGTTGGATGAATTGAAACAGAATCAAGTTGTTTTTTGGTGTAGAAAAAGGCAAAGGGTATGTAAATATTGCTAAAAGCTTGATCAAGAAGAGAGAGTTTGTGCCATTTTTGAGTAGAAGGAGTTGGAGATGAAGGTTTAATGAGTTTCTTTGAGAGTATAGTAGAAGATGGCTTCTTCATATTTTTTTTGTATTTTTGACACTTTGATCAATTTGGTTTGATTAGTGAGAAAGGAATGTGTTTTACTATAAAATTATGTTATTACACTTATATAGGCTGCAATATTTATAGGAAAATTGAAAAAAAAAAAAAACAATGTGGGCAAGAGAAGGGGTTATTCTACTTTAAGTCTACGTTAGGCATATTTTGTTGAATATTCAACAGCCACATAAAAGCATTGGTTTCATTAACTTTTTTCATTGTTCACATAAATATCTTCAAACATGAACTACGGCCCCCTCCCAAGTAGAGATGTTGCTCACAACCTCTTGGTTGGAAGTGGAGGTTGCTTACCATCAGAACAACAAAAATAATGTGAACATATTGTAATACACTTAAATATACCTAACTCCCTCCGGTCCACTTTAATTGTTTTTTGATATTATTTTTACACGTATTAAGGAATCTATTTTTTAGCATTAATTAACAATAAAGTTGATCATACTAACCTTAATTTGTTCATTAAAAATATAACAAATACTCTTAGGCTCTTTACTCCAAAGACAATTTTGGGGAAAAAAGTTACTCTTTCTAGATATTTTAAAAAACCAAATATTTGAACTAAAAAGAAGTCAAAAAATTAATTAAAATGGACCCGAGGAAAATACGAGAACGTTAAGTACGTGGAGAAAAGTATTTTTCTTTCCTAAATAGAAAAGTTATACCAGACACAATACATGTGCTCTTATAAAATTAGGTTGACAATCCTTCCATATTTTCTTTCCCAAGCAACTACCAAGAGAATGTGTAGCATAAAGAAACTAATATTAATTCATTAAATATTCATTATCGAATATTATATTCTCCGTTTTTTATTTACTTGTCACGTTTCGTTTCTTGAGAGTCAATTTATCTAAATTTTAAATCTAATGGATAAAATTATCTTAATATTTTAAAACTAAAATTTAGATATTCAAAAATTATACAAAAAAATATTGTAATCTATAATTCTCCGCATATTAATATGGCAAAAAACTACATATTAATTAAAATTTATGTTTTTGATTCTCGAGAAGCGAAACAAGATCATTGAATGAAATAATAGGGAGTAAGACTGTTGACTACTTAATTAGCATGATGCATTCTAGAAGCACTTAAGAATGTAATTCCTAGGCTTTAGTAGCTGGGCTATCCTAGAAAAGACCTACTACCGCCACACTAAGCTTATGCCTATAAGGATATTTTCATGTGGTAGTCCTTAAATTTAGTTCAGTAAGTCAATGACAAATCTAATTAAAAATCAACTTTAGACTAACCTAGTCAATGATTTATACTGCTGCTAAAGATATGAAATAGGGGAATCAATGATAATAATTCATGTTAATGACTTAATCCAGAAAATTTGGGAGAAAAAGAAGGAATTCATGTTAGGCAACGTGAGGGGAGAGATCGAAGCAAACCATAGTTAAATTCTTTTATAGTTAATGACTTAATTGAACAAATTTATATCTCAATGCAACTTTCTATTCCATCCATCTCAAATTATCTGTCATATTTCTCTTTTACACGACCCTACTGTATGATTGTTACCTACTGTATTGATCAATTGTCTGTGCAAATTGATTGTTACATATTCTATTATATCGTATTATTACTTTAAATACAATGTTTGTTTTGATTATTACTTAATTTTATTGTATTGTATCGTTAAATCCGTCGTTACGTAACGACGGAAAAATATCGCTTGATGCAACAACCAATTTGGTGTGACCGCATCGTTACCTTATCTTTTTCTCTTATATTGCCCTTTATTATTATTAATAATCTTTTATCCTATCTTTTTATATAATAATTCTACTTCGTACCATCATCTTGCTTTGTAATACTGCAAGTTTATTCTTCATATTGTTGGTATGTGACATCGTGAAACAATAGTAAATGATACAATTTATCCAAACATTATATTCATCAAACGATACAATACAATATAATACAATACAATACATTATGAAACGATATGTAACAACCATCCAAACAAGCTATTAAGAAACATTAATTAGAAGGGATTTTTGACTATTGTATTCTTATTTATATCTTAAATATAATCTATCTTCATTGAATATTTATTCTATTTATATGTCATCCTCATTTTCAAGAACAATTACTATTAAGGGTAAAATGAGAAGAAATTTTTTTTATCCTTCTAAAATGATAAATAATTTGAGACAACTATTTTTAGAAAATAAAGAGATCTTGTACTGGAGTCAAATCTCAAGATTATATTTAAGATTTCCATGATCAACACAAGCATCTATAAATACATTAACAATAATAAAAATATTTAATATAAATAGTTATATTATACTCCTAATAGAGATGGATTCTGGAAATGGTCACCATAGAAAGAAATAGGATTAAGAAACAAGCTGTCAAATACTCTAGAAGCCAAGTACACTGCCATATCATTTTTATTTTTTTTGGTTTCTTATTCAGCATCCGATATTTATATTGGAGCCCGACTATATTTGAATTCGCACCGCACAAGACTTTATTCAGGGGGAAATGCTTTCTACTAAGGATTTTTCCATACCTAAAACTCGAACTCGAAAGTTGTGGTTAAGAGAATAGCAGCTTCATCCATTACACCATATCCTTTGGTGGTAGGCCTGCGCAACCGATGGCTAAAAATTTACAAGCAATCAAGATACACACATAAACCGCCTTAAACCCCACCAACAAAATCCCCTCTTCACATCAAAGCTTTGTAATCTTCTAGCTCTCTCCATTCAATTTTTGAAGGATTGTTTCGAACCACATGGCAAGGTCAAAGATATACTAGAAAAGTTTCGTGTAGAGATTGACCACCAGTTACAGATGGAGAGTTCTGCATTAATATTTAAGTGCGGAATCGATCTATAACTTTACTGTGAAAGAAAAAAGGTTAAATATATTCATGTACTATCAAAAAAAGTTTAAATATATCACTCGTTATAGTTTGAATTCAAATACACCTTTGTTGTTATATTGTTGGTTCAACTAT